TTGAAGTAGTTCCCACTCCGTGTTTACTGGAGCAAGGGATCTGGATAGAGTGTCGGCTAGAATATTGAGGTGCCCCGCAATATGTCTCACCACTAGATGAACCTGGAGTTGAAAACACAGAAGGAGAATGTCTCTGGCTATCTGATAAAGAGAAGGTGAATGAGTTCCTCCCTGATTCTTGAGATAAGCTACAACTGTTGTGTTGTCCGTGGCCAGAATGACAGACTGGTTCTTTAGAGACATTTGGAAATGATTCAGTGCAAACAGAACTGCTTTCATTTCCAATACATTGATATGCTCTTCCAAAAGATCTGGATTCCAGACTCCCGAGATTGTAAGCCCCTCCAGATATGCTCCCCAACCGAGGGTGGAGGCATCTGTGAATAATGTTAGACTGGGAACTTGAGGGGACAGACATAGGCCCCTCATTACATTTTCCCGTACTAACCACCATTGAAGGTGTGGAAATAAAGGCTGAGTGATTGGAATCAATGCTTCCCATTCTTGTGAAGCTGGAATCCATAACTTGTGCAGATAAAACTGAAGCGGACGAATGTGAAGTCGTCCCAATGGAATTACATCTGCCAGTGAGTTCAATAGACCCAGAAGTTGCAAGAATTGACGTGCTGTGACTGATTGAACCGTCAGGAATAAATGTATTTTCTGACATAGTTTTGTAAATTTTTTCTCTGGTGGGAGGACTAGGCCTACACTGGTTAGGAAATGTTCTCCCAGGAAAACAAAGTCTTGAGAAGGAATTATCTCTGACTTTTTCCAAGAGATTAGGAAGCCTAGGGACAGAAAACAATTGATGACCAAATCTGTCTGAACCCTCAATTTGATTGGGCAAAATTCCTTGAGAAGGGAATCGTCCAGGTAGGAATGAATCTGAATAGACAGGGAATGTAGGTGAGCTATAGCTGCCTGCATGATTTTGGTAAAAGCCAAAGGGGCTGTAGACAGGCCAAAAGGGAGAGCCTTGAACTGGAAAACTTTGTTGTTCCAAACGAAGCGAAGGTATTTCCTGTAAGTATGGGAAATGGGAATGTGGAAATAAGCATCTGAAAGATCCAGAGAAGTAGTCCACATTCCTGGAAGGATTGAAGCCCTGATTGATCTGTTGGTTTCCATTTTGAAATGGGGAACAATAAGAAAGTTGTTCAGAATAGATAGGTCTATGACCGGCCTCATTCCTCCAGTCTTCTTTGGAACCAGAAAAAGACGGGAATAAAATCCCGGAGACAGAGTTAAGAGCGACACCTCCTCTATTGCAGATTTTTGTAACATTGTGTCCACTTCTACTGATAGAAGTTGATACTTGACTGGGTCTTGAGTATGAGACAAACTTATCGGAACTGCAGACAGAGGAGGTGGGTTCTTGAACTGAAGTGTTAATCCCCCTCGAATTATTGACAGCACATAACAGTCTGAGGTAATTTTCTTCCACTGATTTAGGAAAAAACTTAACCTCCCCCCTACTGGTATTGATTTTTGAGGAACTTCTTGTAAATTTTCCCCTGGGGAAGCTGTCAATAACGTACGAGGGGGCAAGAACCTAGGTACTAGACCCAGATTTCTTGGGACCCTTAAAACCACCAGAAGGCTTACCTGAGCTTTTTCCGGAGTTATTGGGTTTGTTCTGCGGTTTGCCGTAGTTATTCTTCCTTTTCTTAGCAGAAGAAGGAGGACCACCTGAAGCAGAAGTACTAGTAGAACTAGATGTAGCATTAACCGACCTCTTGCCATTAGTAACTTGTACACTAACTTTGACTGGAGGAGGGTTTTTGCTGAGTTCCTCTTGAACCCGCTGTAAGGGTAAACCAAACATCTTGTCAGTAAGTGGAGATTTCAGTAAAGAATCTTTCAAAGGCTCAGCAACAGAAATGTTTTCAAGAAACTCTGCTCTTTTAGATAGGGTGCAATTAGCAATAGAACCCATTAAAAGCAACTGAGATGAACCTAGAGCTTTATCCAGTTGAAGTAAGAAGGATCGTACTTCTGCTGGAACAACCGAATCTTCGCTGTTAAGCAAATGTCCGGTTGCAGCTAGAAAATGTTCGGCTGTGCCAAGAACTTGAGAAGCACTATGAAGGAGATTCTCAGTCTTTGACCAAACAGGTTGAGTGAGACGAAGACCATCTACTGGCTTTTTTCCCAATAAAGATGACATAGATTTGTCACAACTGGGAACAAGTCTACCCAGTGAAGAATCAAAGATATCAAAATCCTTGTACTTAACCTGATCAGAAAAGGATGACATTCCAAATCCAGAGATATTGTTATTAGCAACCTTTTCACTAGCAGAATTAGCGATACCTTCATTAATAAATTGTAAAGCAAATGCCATATGGCCAGATTCAGGAAAAGAATTGTGAGAAGTCACAGTATCCTGAGAAATACCACAGGAAGCTTCAAAAGTTGAAGAAGGTTTCTTCGGCTTGGAAGGAGAGGCAAAAGGGATATGTGCTTCATCCCTCATCAAGGTATACACCTTATCCCTAAGATCCTTCAAGGATGGAGGATCCTCAGTCTCCTTGGTGGGAGGTTGTTGAGCTGACTTAGAAGAAGGCTCAGGGGCCGTCTTCGATACCTTGGGAGAAGAAGAACTTTCAACATCCTCATCAGTGAGGAAAGCCCTTTCATGACTCCCAGGGGAAACAGAAAGCTCGTCATCCTCCCTCTCATCACATTCTACAGACTTAGCTGGAGAAGGTTGATGAGAAGAAACTCTATTCTCCAGTAGAGACATACGACTGGATAGAGTACTAAATTCAGCCTTGAAAGACTCACCAAAGTCCAAAAGCAACTTCTGAAAACCATCCAAAGATGATGCATGATCAGAACCCTGAGTACCATGAGAAGAGCTAGAAGATTGAGCTCGAGAGTCAGGTACGGTGGTAGAAGGAGCTACTGCAGGAGTCAAAGATACTGCTACGGGTGGAGCAGGAGCTAAAGGTGGTGCAGTAGCTACCCCAGAAGGGGGACCATAGAAATTGTCCCTATAAGGCCAAAAACCAGGTTGGTTTGGCATAAACCCACCATAAGGGTAAGACTGTGGCCAAGGTGGCTGAGACCATGAGGGTAAAGGTTGTGTGCCCGAGTTGGGAAGCATATACCCACAATAGGATAATGGGGGTCTAGAACCTGGCAAGTTCAAGCCCATAGCTGTACCTGGGACAGAACTAATAGTACCCGATGAATTAACAGGCCTAGATAAAGTATGAGTCACCGAAGTTGACGTAGGTACCCCCCCAAAATGCATGGCCGAACCTTGTGAAAGGGTCGGATAGGTAGCATTACCAGACACCGTTGTCGAAACTCCGGTCATTGTACTGGTAGTTTGGGGGGGACTTAAAGGTAGTGACCCATCTAAGAGATAGTCCGAACCAGGAATATTTACATACGGACTATTCAAATTAAAGTCCATAATAAAATTTACTTTAGTCAAAAAAACACAAATAATTTGTTTAGAAATTCAAACTAAACAAGGGAATAAATTTCCAATAATATACACAATATGAAAAGCAATTAAGCTATTCAAAAACTTTACAAACAACTAAACACTTCTCTGTTGAATCTGTATATATTTGCACGTGTGACCGATGTCGCAGATGGAAATTGAATGGGAGAATATGGGCAAACAGGGGTATATGTCCGGACCAGTGAGAGTACGTTTATTTTTAGTCGGGATTTTCCATCTGACCTATGACGCAATTGGGGTTACACTCAGAATTTATGATGGTAACGTATTTATAGCTATAAAACCCCATAACTCAGAAATGTAAAATGTAAAATTTATAAAATTCTAAAGGGAGCTTACATCAATACATACAAACAATTCACCAAAGTTTCATACAAATTGCTGAAAGAATTTTTGAGTTTTTGTCTGAAAACTGGAAAATCCCCCCTTTTTTTATGAATAAAACCCTGTAACTCAGAAATGTAAAATTTTAAATTTATAAAAATCGAAAGGGAGCTCATGTCAATAGATATAAACAATTCACCACAATTTCTTGCAAGTTGGTGAAAGCATTCTTGACTTATTGTACGAAAACTGGAAAATCCCCCTTTTTTTAATGAATAAAACCCCATAACTCGGAAACGTAAAATCTAAATTTTATAAAAAACGAAAGGGAGCTCACGTCAATAGATATAAACAATTCACCAAAGTTTTATGCAATTTGGTTAAAGCATTTTTGAGTTAATGTCCAACATGTTGACAACAGACGGACTGACAGACGGACAACGGTATACCATAATACGTCCCGTAAACGGGCGTATAAAAACTGAACACTGAGAAATGAACCTTGAAAATGAGGTCAAGGTCAAATAAAACCTGTGAGACTGACATGTACATCATAAAATATTTCAATACACCATTCATAGTTGACCAATTGCATATAGTATTAGAAAAAAAGACCAAAACTCAAAAACTTAACTTTGACCACTCCAACATGAAAATGAGGTCAAGGTCAGATGACACCTACCAGTTGGACATGTACACCTTACAATCATTCCATATACCAAATATAGTAGACCTACTGCTTATAGTATCTGATATATGTACTTGACCACGAAAACTTAACCTTGTTCACTGATCCATGAAATGAGGTCGAGGTCAAATGAAATTTGTCTGACGGGCATGAGGACCTTGCAAGGTACACACATACTAAATATAGTTATCCTATTACTCATAATAAGAAAGAAATTAACATTACAAAAAATGTTGACTTTTTTTCAAGTAGTCACTGAACCATGAAAATGAGGTCAAGGACAATGGACATATGACAGACGGAAACTTCGTAACATAAGGCATATATATACAAAGTATGAAGCATCCAGGTCTTCTAGCTTCTAAAATATAAAGCTTTTAAGAAGTTAGCTAACGCTGCTGCAGCCGCCGGATCACTATCCCTATGTCGAGCTTTCTGCGACAAAAGTGGCAGGCTTGACAAAAATCCACTACCATATGAATTAAAATATTAAGCACAAACACATACTTTGAATGAGATTTTTTGGTCTCTGTGGTTTCTTTGGTGGCTTTCTTCAGTTTCATTAAGTTTACTTTAGTTTCAATTGTCATTTTAAATCCACCTCCATAGTTTATGTCTAAATCTACCCAGAATCCTTGGTTATCCAGGAAAGGCTTACCAGCCCTACGTATCACTGGCATTTCTGATCCTAGATTTATGTCTGTTATTTTAAATGCTTCTATAAAATATGGGATCTACAAAAATAATAATACAGAAAATTGTAACTCAAAGTTGTTCAAAGATATTGTTAGATTTTTTATGATAATATGAATACAAGGAGATGTGTGGCATCAACAAACCCAAATAAACAAGAGTGCACACGCTGAAATGTCTCGCCTTCTTTACTAATCATTGATATTATGTTGATAGTCCTAAGTATAAAGCTTTATTACAACTGTCACATAAACTTAACATTAACCAAGTAAACTAAACATTGACCAATGAACCATGAAAATGAGGTCAAGGTCAGATGAACCATGCTAGGCAGGCATGTACAGCTAACAATTCTTCCATACAACAAATATAGTTGACCTATTGCTTATAGTTTAAGAAAAACAGACCAAAACACAAAAACTTAACACTGAGCAATGAACCTTGAAAATGAGGTCAAGGTAAAAAAAACCTGCGTGACTGACAAATAGATCATAAAATATTTCCATACACCAAATATAGTTGAACTATTGCATATACATGTAGTATTAGAAAAAAAGACCAAAACTCAAAAACTTAACTTTGACCACTGAACCAAAAAAATGAGGTCAAGGTCAGATGACACCTGCAAGTTGGACATGTACACCTTACAGTCCTTCCATACACCGAATATACTAGACCTATTGCTTATAGTATCCAAGATATGGACTTGACCACCAAAACTTAACCTTGTTCACTGATCCATGAAATGAGGTCGAGGTCAAGTGAAAACTGTCTGGCGGGCATGAGGACCTTGCAAGGTACGCACATACCAAATATAGTTATCCTATTACTTATAATAAGAGAGAATTTAACATTACAAAAAATCTTAAACTTTTTTTTCAAGTAGTCACTGAACCATGAAAATGAGGTCAAGGACATTGGACATGTGACTGACGGAAACTTCGTAACATGAGGCATCCATATACAACGTATGAAGCATCCAGACCTTCAACCTTCTAAAATATAAAGATTTTAAGAAGTTAGCTAACGCCGCCGCCAACGGATCACTATCTCTATGTCGAGCTTTCTGCGACAAAAGTTGCAGGCTCGACAAAAACCCAATTAGAACAACATAAAACCATCTCGACCTCATACATATAATGAGCATTTTTTTCATCAGCATGATCATTGAACAATGTTGAAGAATTAGAAACTACAAAGAGATGAAACTACTTCTGTTTTGTTAGAAGGTCATTTGGCTTTACCGCTTGATGGAGTTATCACGTAGCTGAATTAGCACTGAGCAGTATGTAAAAACAGGAAAGACATGTCCATAAAATATCAATAAATGTTGTCCCCTCTATAAAAGTTTGAACAAATGGGCCCTGATGTCTTTACCTATTATTCACTATCAAACTCAATAAAAAAGCCTCATGAATTTGATAGCAACTGGTTCTAAACATAATTTTAAACATTTTGTTTGAATCAAATTATAATTTAGCAGCATTTGCTATCATTTCTCAAATAGATCACAAGTGTACTGTACCTTCCATGCCATATTCTGCTATTCTCCTAATATTTTTAAATGGCAATGAATATTAACATAATTTTTCTGATTTCATTATATTAAAAAATAATTGTTCTTTCCTAATTCAAATAATGACAGCAGTCATATATATGACACAATTTGGGGTGATGGGTCATTATCCAAAGTACATGTATAAAGAAGGTCAAAAGGTTCGCAAATTATGTATCATTTCCCAAAGAAAAAAATGGTAGCAATTTTTCTGAAACAAGATTTTCAGGATTCAGAAGAATGTGTCACAATGGTGAAAGATACTGAAGGCAGTATTCAAAGTGTTTCCATGGACCAGTCTATGCCCTAGAAGGCAGTACTCAAAGTGTTTCCATGGACCAGTCTAGGCCCTAGACTGGTCCATGGAAACACTTTGAATACTGCCGTCAGTATCTTTCACCATTGTGACACATTCTTCTGAATCCTGAAAAATCTTGTTTCAGAAAAATTGCTACAATTTTTTCTTTAGACTCTAGGCATGGATTCTGAAATTCCCAGATGATTGAGTTAAGCTGCAAACCAAGCTATTTAAAAATGAAGAAGAAAAGGGTTAAACTTGATTGCTTCTAGCATGTCTAGTGTAATGGGTATTAGTTGTTGTCTCTTTGACACATTCCCCATTTCCATTCTCAATTTTATGTTAATAATGTTTTACTGGAAAAAAAAACTCTAATGATCTGATACCACTATTAGAACACATACAAACACTTCAATAAAAGCTATGATAACATCTTCAAATTGTGATTTATTTTTTGCATAACAGATATATATACAACTTACATGTATTTTATCCAGCTTCTTTTGTAGCTTGTCCATTACTTTATCAGCCCAGTATTTCTGATGAAGAAAATCCCATGAACACCTGGAAATCATAGCATTTACCCAAAGTAACTGTGCCTCACAGTCAATAATATTTCCTACACTTTTTTTATTGATTATAAAATTAGAATAATATTCCCTAGGCATACATCTTCCCATATAAGAAACAAATTCTTCCATACTGAACGGAACAGACTCTGTTTCGCCTTGTTCATTCATTGGTGAAGATGAACCAGTTGAACTAATGGAATCGGTTGAACCCTGGCGCTTATGTTGAGGCGTTCCTTCAGAACTTTGACGCTTTTGTTGAGCCTCTGTGACAGATGTTGAAACATTTTGTGTTTTCGAGGATCCTGTCTGGAGAAAATATTGCTTAATGACTTCTAAATGAAGCTTTAAAGGAGTCCCTTTACATGAAGCATCAATCTTTTTGAACCACTCTTCCTTTTCATGACAAGTTCTTGCAAATAAATACAGAATGCTGGGACCACACTTATCTTCACTAATGATTTCAAAACCTTGGTCCGACTCAGGTAATGATTCATTCACTTTACTACCTGGTTTTTTCAAAGCGATGCAAATTGGATATTTTTTACTCCAAACTCTTTTTTTCACAAGACCAGGAGGCATAAGGAAGACTCTGCTTCCTTCGAGGTTGAAAATTCTCTGATGAATATATTCAACAGTCTTTGGTGGTTCTTCATCCCACATAGCTCTTTTAGCAATATTATTTTTAGGAAATCTAAGACGTAACGTAACACCATCTAAGGTGACATGCACTGAATGTGTATTGTTAATATGATAGTTTTCTGGATTATACTCTGAAATTTCATTCATCCAACCCTGAAAAATAGTAAAAATATTACAAGATGTTATTGCGCAATATCAGAATTGTTTTTGTAAACCTAGAAATATCTTTTTATTGTCAAATTCTAAACAATATTTGAAGTAATTGAGAACAAATGGAAGATCAGATCTACCTACTATTTAATTCAAATGTCTAATTCTTTAGCAAACCATGGATTATCACCGAACTGTTCCAATTTGTAGCTTTAGGTAATAGCGCAAACTTCAACCTGTTGTATATTAAACTACAAATATTTATAAGGACTGTCCCATACTCAAATGCTAGACTGGGCATGCTGGGAGACAAGCACTTTTTAAAAACTTAATTACCTAACATTTAGTAAAAGCACAGACTGGTCAGGCAGAAATTAGATTAATGTGTCCAGGTAGGGTGACATTTCTTCCTGCAAACTGTTACCTTGAGAACTAGAACATTTTTAATCCAGCTCAGCGTGTCAGTCTTGTACAAAGCAGGGTTCATATTCACTTGTTCTCGTCCTGAATATATGCATTTTATTTGACACTTGTTAAACAGATATCATCAGCATCAGCATCATTGATCAAATTTGCCACTTTAAAATACACTTTGTTTTCTGATCAGGTGTATTGTAAAGGATAGGTGTATTCGTTAGTTAAAATTGATTAAATGAAATTTACAAAACTAACCATGTTAATATATACCAGTTGGATTTTTTACTCTACCTTATGTACTGTAACACCATCAGCAAGGCTTACATCCTTCAAATTAGGCTCTGTCATTGGCTGCAAATTTTTGACTGGAATTATCTTTGGAGAATCTTTAGGCATAGTTGGCTTAGTTAAAAATATATAAGAAATCCATCCCAGAGAAGCAATAAAACTTCCTAATACCATTCCAGAAATATATGATGGCAGGGGAACGACAATATACAAAAACATAACGCCAATCACAATCAGGAATTTTTTGGAAGGAACATGCTTTTCTACAGTTTCTGCTAAAGTCTGTAATTTTGACGGATCTGTCACATGTTTGGACTTAGATTTTACCGTAACTGTTTCATCAGCTGCATTAAAAAATGTTGCCTCCTCTAACTCATCTACCTTATCTTTGGATAATTTTGACATCGCTACAGGGGAAGTTAGTTTTGGAACTTTGCCTTTCACTAATCTACGCTTCAAAGACGTTTTCGCCTTCTTCTTTTCAAAAGTATTAGTGCTTGTGACTGAAGGTACCCCCGTAAAATCTTCAGCTGGTTCATTTGAATAAAAGTCATCTACAATATTGAATTCTTCAACTTCTTCTGCTTCATTTTCAGCATCAGATGGCAAATTTTCTTCCACAACATCAGTGTGTTCCTCTTGAACTTTATCAACTGGAGTTGATTTTAGCTGTTCAACTGTTTCTCTTTTCACTACATGTTGAGACTCTACCATGCTTTCATTTGTTTTACATGTGTCAGTATTAAGTGTCTTCATTTCTTTTACTTTTACCTTTTCATCTTCATCTTTACCAATATTTTCAGATAATTCTTCAATTTTTTTCCTTGCCCTCTCAGCTTTATCTTTCACAGCAGAAGAAATTTCAGCTACATTCTGTTTTAGCCATGACATTGCAGAGCCCTCTTCTTCAACAGATTTTGAATATTTCTGAAGTTTGTCAGCACTTGAGGACCTTATTGGGATGGGTTCAGCTTTAGTGCTAGCGCTTATATGAGTAGGGCTATCCCAACTCCTCTGTGAAGCAACAACTTTTCTTGCCTCCCCTACCTCTTTTTTGGTAAATTTTTTTTTATCTTCAGAAGGTTTGTCACTTTCTTCATGACTTTTCTTTTCTGTAGAAATTTTATTTGGAGAGTCTGGGTGTTTGTTATCTATTTTTAGTTTGTCAGATTCCACTTTCTTTGTCAATTCTCCTGTCATAATTGTCAAATCTTCCTCATCATCTTCATCTTCTTCTAACGACTTAAAACTGAACTTCATGGCAGGTGTAGAATCTGTCTTTTTACCCAAGCCTTTTGGTGGTGGTGGTCGAGCTGGTACTTCTCTTTTAAAACTCATGTTGTAGATTTTTTGTAGGAATCAGAGAATATACATATTGTTCAGATATGTTAAAGACCTAAAATGTAAATTAAAAAAATTAATATATATAGTTTTGCATGCACACGTATAAAAATAGCAGTTTTTATCCAACGCTATCATAGGTTTGAAGTTGTTTTCAATTTAGACTTGTATATATATATATAATGCGTTTTGTTAAAATAGACTTTTTCACTTTTTTTGGTCTTTTGGAAATTGTTGTTTGTGCTGTATTTAGACCCCTCTACCAAGAAATTTGTTTTACATGCACACGTATAAAAATTCCGGTTTTTATCCAACACAATCATAGGTTTGAACATTGTTTTCAATTTAGACTTTTATATATTTTTCGTTTGGGCTTGTATTATATTTTCCTTCGGGTTTATATGATCTGTTCATCCTATTTCAACTCTTTAAAATTCAAGAGTCTTTCCTAAATTGAGGTAAATTATATGGCCTTCCAAATACCGTTTCGATCCCTAACATCACTGAAGAGACATAAATTGTCGAAATCCGGATATGGTGTACAAATTTTTGCACCTCATGTTTGTGGTATACCATCTTTTCCACAAGTTTATTGTTTTCTGTTTGGTATTTAATTTATATTAAGATCCATTTTGTTAGATCTGGTGATCAATTTATTTGGCAATCGCCAATGGCAGTCAGCAGGGTTTAAGAACATCGGTTGTTCGACCTGTTAGTCAAATGCGTTTTGTTAAAATAGACTTTTTCACTTTTTTTGGTCTTTTGGAAATTGTTGTTTGTGCTGTATTTAGACCCCTCTACCAAGAAATTTGTTTTACATGCACACGTATAAAAATTCCGGTTTTTATCCAACGCAATCATAGGTTTGAACGTTGTTTTCAATTTAGACTTTTATTTATTTTTTTGTTTGGGCTTGTATTATATTTTCCTTCGGGTTTATATGATCTGTTCATCTTATTTCGACTCTTTAAAATTCAAGAGTCTTTCCTAAATTGAGGTAAATTATATGGCCTTCCAAATACCGTTTCGATCCCTAACATCACTGAAGAGACATAAATTGTCGAAATCCGGATATGGTGTACAAATTTTTGCACCTCATGTTTGTGGTATACCATCTTTTCCACAAGTTTATTGTTTTCTGTTTGGTATTTAATTTATATTAAGATCCATTTTGTTAGATCTGGTGATCAATTTATTTGGCAATCGCCAATGGCAGTCAGCACGGTTTAAGAACATCGGTTGTTCGACCTGTTAGTCAAATGCGTTTTGTTAAAATAGACTTTTTCACTTTTTTTGGTCTTTTGGAAATTGTTGTTTGTGCTGTATTTAGACCCCTCTACCAAGAAATTTGTTTTACATGCACACGTATAAAAATTCCGGTTTTTATCCAACGCAATCATAGGTTTGAACATTGTTTTCAATTTAGACTTTTATATATTTTTTCGTTTGGGCTTGTATTATATTTTCCTTCGGGTTTATATGATCCGTTCATCCTATTTCGACTCTTTAAAATTCAAGAGTCTTTCCTAAATTGAGGTAAATTATATGGCCTTCCAAATACCGTTTCGATCCCTAACATCACTGAAGAGACATAAATTGTCGAAATCTGGATATGGTGTACAAATTTTTGCACCTCATGTTTGTGGTATACCATCTTTTCCACAAGTTTATTGTTTTCTGTTTGGTATTTAATTTATATTAAGATCCATTTTGTTAGATCTGGTGATCAATTTATTTGGCAATCGCCAATGGCAGTCAGCACGGTTTAAGAACATCGGTTGTTCGACCTGTTAGTCAAATGCGTTTTGTTAAAATAGACTTTTTCACTTTTTTTGGTCTTTTGGAAATTGTTGTTTGTGCTGTATTTAGACCCCTCTACCAAGAAATTTGTTTTACATGCACACGTATAAAAATTCCGGTTTTTATCCAACGCAATCATAGGTTTGAACGTTGTTTTCAATTTAGACTTTTATATATATATATATATATATATATATATATAAGAAGATAAACTAGAGGCTCTCAAGAGCCTGTGTCGCTCACCTGATTCTACTTTGGTTTTGGAAATCATGTAAAAATAGATTAAAATCATAACAGATACCCTAATAATGAGTGAGGCCAAATTTGGTTTAATAATGGTCCTGTAATTTAATAAAAAATCCTGGTGGCCATCTTGAACAGTAAATCGGCAACAAAGTAGCAACACTTAATCAGCACCTCATAAGAAACATTTATGCCATGTTTTGGTTTCATTCCATTCAGTGCACCTCTAGAAGAAGCATTTGTATGTATTTCCCATAGGGTCTTATGTTAAAGGAAGTCCCCCTATTGGCGGCCATCATGGATGAAGGATCAGCTTCAAAGTAACAAAACTTAGTCAGCACCTCATAAGGAACATTCATGCCATGTTTGGTTTCAATCCATTCAGTATGTGGTTCTCTAAAAGAAGACATTTGTATGTATCATCCATAGGGTCCTTTGTTAAACATTGTCCCCATCTGGCAGCCATCATGGATGAAGGATCAGCTTCAAAGTAACAACACTTGGTCAGCACCTCAAAAGGAACATGCATGCCATGTTTGGTTTCATTCCATTCAATGGTTCTCTAAAAGAAAACATTTGTACGTATTTCTCATAGGGTCCTATGTTAAACTAAGTCCTCCGCTGGCAGCCATCTTAGATTATGGATCGGCTTCATAGTAACAACACTTGGTCAGCACCTCATAAGGAACATTCATGCTATGTTTGGTTTCATTGCATTCAGTGGTTCTCTAAAAGAAGACATTTGTATGTATTTCCCATAGGGTCCTATGTTAAACTAAGTCCCCCGCTGGCTGCCATCTTGGATGATGGATCAGCTTCAAAGTAACAACACTTGGTCAGCACCTCATAAGGAACATTCATGCCATGTTTGGTTTCATTGCATTCAGTGGTTCTCTAAAAGAAGACATTTGTATGTATTTCCTATAGGGTCCTATGTTAAACTAAGTGCCCCGCTGGCTGCCATCTTGGATGATGGATCAGCTTCAAAGTAACAACACTTGGTCAGCACCTCATAAGGAACATTCATGCCATGTTTGGTTTCATTCCATTCAGTGGTTCTCTAAAAGAAGACATTTGTATGTATTTCCCATAGGGTCCTATGTTAAACTAAGTCCCTCTCTGGCGGCCATCTTGGATGATGGATCGGCTTCAAAGTAACAACACTTAGTCAAGACCTCATAAGGAACATTCATACCATGTTTGGTTTCATTGCATTCAGTGGTTCTCTAAAAGAAGACATTTGTATGTATTTCCCATAGGGTCCCATGTTAAAGTAAGTCCCCCGCTGGCATCCATCTTGGATTATGGATCGGCTTCAAAGTAACAACACTCGGTCAGCACCTCATAAAGAACATTCATACCATGTTTGGTTTCATTCCATTCAGTGGTTCTCTAAAAGAAGACATTTGTATGTATTTCCCATAGGGTGGAATGTTAAACTAAGTCCCCACGCTGGCGGCCATCTTGGATTATGGATCGGCTTCAAAGTAACAACACTCGGTCAGCACCTCATAAGAAACATTCATGCAATGTTTGGTTTCATTCCATTCAGTGGTTCTCTAAAAGAAGACATTTGTATGTATTTCCCATAGGGTCCTATGTTAAACTAAGTCCCCACGCTGGCGGCCATCTTGGATTATGGATCGGCTTCAAAGTAACAACACTCAGTCAGCACCTCATAAGGAACATTCATACCATGTTTGGTTTTATTCCATTCAGTGGTTCTCTAAAAGAAGACATTTGTATGTATTTCCCATAGGGTCCTATGTTAAACTAAGTCCCCCGCTGGCGGCCATCTTGGATTATGGATCGGCTTCAAAGTAACAACACTCGGTCAGCACCTCATAAGGAACATTCATACCATGTTTGGTTTCATTCCGTTCAGTGGTTCTATAAAAGAAGACATTTGTATGTATTTCCCATAGGGTCCTATGTTAAACTAAGTCCCTCACTGGCGGCCATTTTGGATGATGGAACAGCTACAAAGTAACAACACTTGGTCAGCACCTTGTAAGGAACATTCATGCTATGTTTTGTTACATTCCATTCAGTGGTTCTCTAAAAGAAGTCATTTGTATGCATTTCCCCTAGGGTCCTATGTTAAACCAAGTCCCCTGCTGGCGGCCATCTTGGATGATGGATCGGCTACAAAGTAACAACACTTGGTCAGCACCTCCTAATGAACATTCATGCTATGTTTTGTTTCATTCCATTCAGTGGTTCTCTAAAAGAAGTCATTTGTATGCATTTCCCATAGGGTCCTATGTTAAACTAAGTCTGTCACTGGCGGCCATTTTGGATGATGGAACAGCTACAAAGTAACAACACTTGGTCAGCACCTTGTAAGGAACATTCATGCTATGTGTTGTTTCATTCCATTCAGTGGTTCTCTAAAAGAAGTCATTTGTATGCATTTCCCATAGGGTCCTATGTTAAACTAAGTCCTCCGCTGGCGGCCATCTTGGATGATGGATCAGCTACAAAGTAACAACACTTGGTCAGCACCTCCTAATGAACATTCATGCTATGTTTTGTTTCATTCCATTCAGTGGTTCTATAAAAGAAGTCATTTGTATGCATTTCCCATAGGGTCCTATGTTAAACTAAGTCCCTCACTGGTGGCCATTTTGGATGATGGAACAGCTACAAAGTAACAACACTTGGTCAGCACCTTGTAAGGAACATTCATGCTATGTTTTGTTACATTCCATTCAGTGGTTCTCTAAAAGAAGTCATTTGTATGCATTTCCCATAGGGTCCTATGTTAAACTAAGTCCCTCGCTGGCGGCCATCTTGGATGATGGATCGGCTACAAAGTAACAACACTTGGTCAGCACCTCATAAGGAACATTCATGCCATGTTTGGTTTCATTCCATTCAGTGGTTCTCTAGAAGAAGTTCAAAATGTAAAAAGTTAACGCCGACGACGGACGACGCCGGACGACGGACGCCAAGTGATGAGAAAAGCTCACTTGGCCCTTCGGGCCAGGTGAGCTAATAAGAAGAAAATGC